TCATTTAAAACTACTTTGACTTAGTTTGTTAACTGTTGGGAAATATTTTGGAAATGTCGGATTGCCTAGTACCACGTTAGGCGTCATCACGATAGGTTAGGATTTTGGGTCGTAACACATATTAAGATAAATTTACAAATCATAGTATCTTTTTTGGTAGTTCCTAATTTTGTAAAGTTTTCAAAGGATCAACTAATACATCAATTTTGAATAAATACAAAAAATTAATCCGTCAACTCTCATATATACGTTAAACCCTACTATCGTTTTTGGGATTGGAGAAGTTTTAGAAGTAGCATTATATAATTAGTCAAATAGAATAATCATACATGGGATCACACAATATGGGAAAGCTGTATTTCACATTAAACAAATGCGCTCGTGCCTACGCGTGCCCACGTTTCGGTTATGACCTTCTAACCATGTGATTTTCCCTACCAAAACTTAGCAAACAAACCAATTTAATTTCACTCGTTTAATTCATGCTGCATTGTTTACTACTATATGTAATAGTTCTATGTTTGAAAGTTTAATTCAAACTTGTTAAAGACTAGCTAGAAAACACAGCTGTTTAGATAAATTTTCGAGATCCATGTCATGGTCGTCTGTGGTGGTAGTTACAAATTATTCCAGAACTATGTCCAAAAGGAACTGTGAATGCATGTATGAAGATGGATGTACAATTAAACAATATCGACATATTAACGGTGATCACTTCTAACACATGGTGCAAATATTATACTTAAGAGGATAAAATGGGAGGTCGCATGAGATCAGTAGTTTAGTCATCTCATACGTAGAACTTTATAAAGACCGATTCATAGGTGTATTAATGGTTTGATGATTGAACATGATAAAAAGAAACGAAATAGACCTAAAATCAAATAGAGGAAAATAATCTCGAAAGACTTACAATATTCTGTGACAGTAAATTTTTGAGGATTAATGCTTCTTTGTTGTTGTTACACAAACTTTAGATCCGTTATTCTTGTCATGAACTTTTTTTCTGTGCGCTGAAATTATACTTGTATATTCATGTAGAATAGACCGTGTGAATATTATAGTTGAGAATTTTTATGTTTAGAGAATATATACCTAATTAATTTTCTTCAAAGAAGTATTTGATTGAAAAATAGATCTGATTAATTAATAGAACAATATGATTTAAATACTCGATTCCAACTAATCATATTATGATTGAGACCGATTTAATTGATGATGAGCTTAACATTAAGTATAAAGGGATCTTTACGTAAATAGCCGGTCAGATTTATTGAATTTTTTCCTCTCTAGCTGGTAACATAAATTATACACTGATATACCCGATTTTGGGCTAGACCTCCAACTCATGATACTACGTATGAATATATATCTTAACTCTTGAGCTGTCTCATTTGGACCATGAATTATTTTTCTTTTTAAAATGATAAAATGAAACCAGATGAATCCCATGCCCGATATATTATAACTGAACTACAAAAATGGCTGACAACTTTCCATGTTCGATCCATATGTTTTGGCGTTGAATATCCAATATTCATTAAAAAAAAAAAATAATTTCCCCATAGACAAGAAAAAACCATGCAATTAGTGTCTGCACCTGGCTAAATCCCTTTCTATAAATACTCCTCATACTGTCCTTGTATAGCACAGCATTTTTGAGTGTGTTTACTTGTTAGAGAAACTTCTTCTTGCTATACAACTTTATTCACGTCTCAATAAGAGGTACAATTAAACCTTCATAATCTCCAAAAACTTTTTCTTCTTTTTTTTTTCCCACATAGTTCAGCTCTCTGTTATGAATTTTTCTAGATCTTCCATAGTAAGTTCAAACAATAGAAGAGGCTGCATGTTGGTGGTGTTCCAACAATTAATGCTGTTACAAGAAATTGATTAAAGTTTTAGGATATTTTCTTTTTGTTCAAATAATTTGGTTTCCTAAGTGAAGCGCATCCTGTCGGGAGGACTCAATTCTCCAAACTCAAACTCGAGACATTTTAATATTTTGTTTATCGCTAGACATGTTATTATCATTTTTGGACTAAAATTAACCCAAAAACACTCTTGACTTAGTATGATATATACTATCTGCTTGTTTTTTTTCTGATAGACCTATAACATTAAGATTTTAAGTACATTCTTGTTATATAGTTTTTTTTTGCTTATCAACTTATTATGTGTGACTTTATTCGCACGGCCAATATATCTCTCGTGGTTTGCAGGTCAAGAAAATGGCTGGGGAATCATATGAAAACGCCACTAATGGAGGAGCGAAGAAAGAGTTTAACCCGGATGAGAGGATCCGCTCCGGATTCGCCTACTTCAAGACTGAGAAATATGAGTAAGTTATCACTATTACTCTGCCGTAAAAGGCATAAAAAGATTGTTTGGGAAAGGAAGTCATTTTGACAGCATTATATATATTTTTAGATGAGAAAAGTGGCCTTAAACAGTTTCTTCTAGTCTTTTTTGCGTAATCTTTTTTTGCCAAAACTAACCTTGTAAATTCAGCATTTCTAACCTTTCAACTTGCATTTTCTTTTTGCAGCAAAGATCCCGAGTTGTACGATGAGCTCGCAAAAGATCAAAGCCCAAAGGTAAATCATAATCTATACTATATTAAAAGTATGAATACCCTTGACAAAATATCGTTCGTCTTTTTACCTTTTAAAAACAGATTTTGCATTTAACAAAATTATAATTTAAGTTACTTTCCTAATATTTAGAAATTTAAAATCAACAAACAAAAAATTTTAATTAAAACTTTCTTTATTGAATTAGGTCCTAACATTTAGAATTTAAAATTCAATTGAGATTTTACCTCAAATAATAAAAGGATCCCTTTTAAAAAAAATAGTACTATTTCATATTGTTGTAGAACTCTAACAGATCTAATAGGTGACTTTTTCTGACTTTTTGTCTATAATAAGCTGTGACATTTTGTCCTTTGACACACCCTATAATAAAATACTAATTCTTAGAAAAAAAAGATATTTGGACTAAATTACTCATAATTAAAGTTGGCATATTGTTAACACGACACATTGAAAAATATAAATAAGGGCAAATTTTGAAAAAATAAAGTTGATTTCTTTTTTATTATGTAAATGTCACTTATTTTGAACCAAAATATAAACGTAAAAAAGTCATTTATTATGGACCGGAGTAATATAATACCATATATAGTAAAAATGGAATGTGTGTGTGAATAAAAATATAATGGGCAAACGGATTTCGATTATATATACACAATAACTCCATTTTCGTGACTACTTATATATATGTGGTAAAAAAGCATAAAAATCATATGCTTTGTAATATTACGCCACATATTATATTTATGACACATACCTTTATATTCAATATTATCGTAATTAATTAATACGCATTGTCCCCTTCTCAACATATTTAGGCAATTAATGAATGCTTATAATTTTTTATAAAAAATGCAGTTTTTGGTATTTGCCTGCTCCGATTCCAGAGTGTGCCCATCCCACATACTTAATTTCCAACCAGGAGAGGCTTTTCTGGTTCGTAATATAGCCAACATGGTCCCTCCTTATGACCAGGTAAATTATATTATCGTCTCAATTTATCTCTATATATCTTTTTTAAAATCTGTGCTAATTATTAGTCAAAATTTTGAAGGACTTACTATTTACTTTCTTCTGTCTTGTGTGGAACAAGAAAATCATAACTTAAATTATATTCTTTGTAATGTTTCCGAATATTATCCTAAATAACTAGTTCATATTACATGTTTTATGTACTCGTACTCAATAGCCAAGCTGGATCAAGAAAAGCAAAAACTACATTCATGACAGTAAGAAAATAAGAAGAAAGAAATACTGTGTGAAGGTGATAGCATGGTGGGAGTTAACTAACTCTAATCAAAATTACCAAA